GTGTTAGCGGACAGGACTGGGACAGCAAACTAGCCTACAGGCCGCAGAGGGTCTACGTCTGTGTTTGTGAGTAAACGTTTGCTGGAGCACAGTCATACTTGTTCATTTAGGTATCCATATGGCTTCTTTCACACAGTGGCAGAGTTGAGTAGTTATAGACCACATGCCTGCAAAGCCTAAATATTTTTCTATCTGGCCACTTATATGAAAAGCATGCTGACTTCTGACCTTTAACAGCGGGATCCAGGGAAGGCAATATGTTGACTTGAAGGATGATGAGAAGGGGTTTCTAAGGCCTGTGTTCTGGTCCTGCCTCTATTAGAAGCTGTCTGAGTCTGCAGCCTGAGAAACCTCGATGGTCCCTTCTAGCTGCGAAAGATTGAGCAATTTGTAATACACAAAGCTTCCGATGCCAGCCTTACTGCCCAATACTTTCCACCACCACCCCAGAAAAGGGCACTTTTTTCTATGTGTAGTCCAAGGATTGTGCTAGTTCAAATAATTAGTTTGGAATCTATGTACTGTACTTGTAGAGAAGGAAACATACACAGACATAGACATGGACACATGCGCACACACACACACACACACACACACACACACACACACACATGAGTGGAGCAGGCCATGCAACCCACTGATGTGAGCGCACAGTTTCACACCCAAGCTCCCTGTATGGACTCTCTCTGGGGAGGACATGTCTTCTTCAGGGGCCTCAGCACTTGCTCTGAGAAAGCTACCCCATCTAAGGCCTCACCTTTTGTAAAACATTGAACAAAATATTACTATTCGGCTACTAACCAAGACGCAGCTGCAAAATTATGAAGTTGTGGTTTTACAAAACTAAGCACTTGTCCGAGTCTGTCTACCATCTGAGGGAAGAAGACTGTCTAATCCACAAAGCAATTCACACTTCCTAGCGCATTTCCACACAGTATAACAGAAGCTGGCCTACTTCCTTGTCGTCCATACCATCTTTATTTAGTGTTTACTTCATGAGACTAGCAAAGATAGTTTCCAAACAGCTCTAAATTTAAGAAAATTTTGACCAGTTGAAGATGATTTAAATTAGCTATCTTTGTCTGGGTTCTTCACAAAAGGAGAGCCTAATCCAAGACCGTTTATTTGGGGAACAGATCAGAAGGAATGAGAGTACAGATAGGTAGATTGAAACAGGAAGGGGCAAGGGAGCCAATTCAAAGGTCCCTTATTGAGCTGGGTGCTAACATGGAGCCTCCCTCCTCCTGGGAGGCTCTGAGCTGCCTTGGGGAGGGAGCTCTGGTGTTTCCTCTCAAAGGATGCAGGAGGGAAGTATTGGTTCCCCAATTCCTATTATTGCCCTCTAGAGTTTAAACTCAATCCCACTTCCGGTGTGTGCGTGAGTCAGAATGGCCGGCCAGGGTTTTGCAAGGTCAGCAACAAGCTCGAAGAAGTCACATGTCAGAATGCAAGATTTCCTGACACTGCTGAAGGAAGGGGCTGATGGGTCACAAGTACACCCGAGTTCATAGCTTGGCTGGAGACAAAAGGCAGGCTGAGGTTTTAACGAAGGGCATAAGAAGTGATCTGCGCAACGTGTAACGCTCATGTTTACTTCTCCGCTCTCCCATGCAATGTAGGTCGGGTTAGTACAGCTACAATGGTCCTCCACCATCAACATTGGCTGTGCCTCTGTCACATGATAAGCTCTGTCTGTGTAGTGGTTGTAAAGAATCCACTTCAGTGCATTTGTCAGTGAACAAGAGAACACAGCCAATTTCTCCTATCAGTACTGGCCAGAGAGCAATGAATGTAGCTCCACAGAAGAGAAGCCTTCAGAAGTCTTCAGAGACCCCACAGGGGTTTCACAGGACCAATAGGAGTTCTCAAGGAAAGCAAGCATGCAGGAAGAATGAGGGGCCTATGTGCAGTCGTGCAAGGTGTAAAGGTATGATATAAGCAGCAAAATGCAAGGACTTTCGAGAGGTTAAAATAAAAATACAAAGAGTGATAAAACTGTACAGTGTAGATTTAATTTTTTAAAACTTACTGCAGTAAAAGACACATTGCTATTAATGTCCCCCAGAATACTCCCTCTTGTGTTGAATGTACCTATTCTTCTTGCCATTTTCTGAGGCAGTTCTGCAAGTTGTTTGTACAAAGTGTGATTTTAAAAAACATATAGTGAATGCTGTTGACCAGTGCCATTCAATAGAAGGGCAGCCTCATAAAAGCATTACTGTGTGTCGTCGCCACATCACTCACCAGGTCTGGAGCCTTGGGACTTCTGACTGTTCCCTGAAGTCAACACGACCATGAAAGGTAGAAGTTTTGAATCAGTTCAGGACATTGGGGTACCCATTGCCGCACAACTAAAGATATTCCCAAAGGAGGACTGCCAGAACTGCTTCAAAAAGTTGCAAGACCAAGCCAGGCATGATGGCACATACCTGTATTCCCAGCACTCAGGAGGCTGAGGCAGGAGGATCGCTGTGAGTTCGAGACCAGCCTGGGCTACATAGTGAGTTCCAGGTCAGTCTCAACTACATAGTGAGACCCTGTCTCAAAAGACAAAACAAACAAACAATAAAAGTTGCAAGAACGATGGGATAAGTATGTTTAAGGAAACGGAAAGTATTTTGAAGGTATATTACTGACAATGTCCCTTTTTCTGTTAAAACTTTTAATTGAAACATATTCCTTGATCACACCACATGTACGGAGAAATGGGCGTCCATAAGGCTGGGTGGAGAGGTAGGCATGTCCTAGACTATGAAACCCTGGATCCTACCCTACGCACGTTGGTCTGCATCCTCCATCAGCAGAGAAATAGGAAAGTTGTAAGTAAGGTACAGAGTTGTTCAGTTTGCTTCTAAGAAAGATGTTTGATAGCATCACAGATTTTAGATCATCTGAAAGGAATTTCAGAGGCAAATTAAAGTTTGTATACCTTGGTGATCCCAAGATTAAAACAATTCAGCTCTGTCAAACATTTCAAACCATAGAAGATACAATAACCTGCCTTTCTGTAAATGTACAGGACAATGTGGCTAAATTTAACACAGGACTAAATGAAAACCATAATGCACTTCCATCAAAGCAGAGACTTTTGGTAGACTGTAGGTCTGTTATTTATTATTTAGTGTTCACAGTGTTTTGCAATGCAAGCCTAGATATAATTTAAACCACTGGTCACTTTCCAGGCCTTTCATTTCTGTGCAGCAACATGATAACTCAGGAAAACAAATGCCAGGCCTCATCCCCAAAACTGAGGCTCTTCCCATCCTCTTGTGAAGAAAATCATTCGTCTTGGTTTCTTACTGAAAATATGAATAATGAGACTCCAATAAACAAAGTTGATTTTCTCAACTTAAATTCACTAAAAGAAAGTCATAGTTAATTCTTAGATCCTCATATGAATTTATGAGCCAAATACAATATCAGTAGAGGAATAAGAAGATACAACACTGTGATACAAGCGAGGGCCAAAATAAAAAGTTTTAAAGGACCAAAGGCCTCAGTTTCCACATTTCCTAGAAAAGACATCCCAGGTCTCCTTTCTCCACACTGCCTACAATGACAGGCGATGACGCTGGGCAGCTAGGAAGATGACCTGTCTCTCCAGAGTCCACGGAGGACCATAAGCCACGCTCAAATCCCTCCCTCTGCTCTAGCCAAAGCTTTCATCTGTTCTGGAGGGATGATCCACTTGGGTAATCTGGGGAAGCCTGGGGGGCCCTTTACTTTAAGTGTATTTTATTTTTGACACATAATAAACACACACATTTATGGAGTACAATGTCACATTTTAATAAGCATGTACAATGTGTATTGATCAGATTAAGGAAACTGAAAAGTCTACCATCTCAGGTCCTTGACATTTCTTTGTGCTGGGAATATTTGAGATCTTCTACATTAGCTATTTTTGAAATACAGTCAATTGTTGTCGATCACGATGCTCCAGAGGTTAGAGGCTACTTGTCCTATCCACCTGTACCCCTGCACGCATTGACTGTCTTGTCTCCATCCTTTCTTCCCCCAGTACTCTGGTCGCTGGGACTATACTCTCTTCTCTGCTTGTATGAGATCAACTTTTGGCTTCTGGATATAAGTGAGAACACGTAATATTTGTCTTTTTGTGCCTGACTTGTTTCACTTAATATAATGTCCTCCACTGTTGTCCATGTTGCTTTTTATGGCTAAATAGCAGTGTTCTCTGTGTACAATTATATACTATGTTCTTTTATCCATACATTCACTGTCAACACCCAGGTTGACTATTGGATATTGTGGGTAGGGCTGCAATAAACATGCAAGTACAGATGTCTTTTTGACATACTGATTTTAATAACTCTGAGTATATACTTAGTAGTGGGATTGCCAGATTGTATGATTGTTCTACTCTAGGTCTTTGAGGAATCTCCACACTGCTTTCTGTAATGACTCTACTCATTTGCACCTCTACTAACAATAGAGTTTCCTTTGCTTCGGTCTTCACTGACATTTGCTATTATTTTGCCCTTTGGTAATGGCCATTCTAATGGTGGTTGGATAATAATTCTTGTGTCTTGATATTCATTTCTCTGATGATTTGTGATGCTGAGCATTTTTCATTTTGGGAATTGTCTGTGTTGTTTGTCAGGATCCCGTTTCTATTACTGTTCCTCAAACAGTAGTGGGTTTCAATGCATAAAAAATATATTGGTCTATAATTACTGTATCATCCAAATATTCTAAAAGTTTTGTGATATACTAATGAATATGCTATTTTAGCAATACAATAAATGTCCAGATCTAATGGTGAGAATGATACCTCGCATAATTTAATGTATTGTAGTGATGAACACAGATATAACAATATTAATAATTCACACTGGTGGTGACAAATCCATTGTCTTTTAATATTGTTATTGTTTATTCTTGACTAATAATGGATGCATGTAGAGCCAAGGGATATAGCTTAGTCACAGAGTACATGTTTAACATGCATAAAGCCCGGGGTTCAATCCCCAGGACCACAAAATCAGTCAGTCATTGGTCATATGTTGAGTTCAGTGAGTGGAACTAAAGCTGTAACTTATGAATTCCCAGTTAAGCCTTCCAGTCATACTTCCAAGGGTGGCCTCAGTGTTTCCATTTCCTGGGGGGAAAAAAGAAAAGAAAAGCCAGTTGAAATAAACTCCTCACACCCCCATAACCTACAAACTGTACTTTTAAATCATTTGACTGAAACTATGCATAATGACTGAAAGCTGTAATGAACCTAGAGGTACTTAAGAAATATTTGCTTTTTATAAATCACAACACCTTCTGCACGTATTTCACCTAAAACAGTGTCCTTATGCCCATGTATACAAGACCTTGGATTTGTTCTGTCCACAGACAACAACCAAGCACAGCAGAATGTGGGAAGCTGTTGTGAAAAAAGAATACAATGCAGAGTGCAACGAGTGGTCTCTAGTTCCTCTACCTAAGCCTGAACAAAATAACTCAGTTTTCTTATCTTTAAAATGGGCGTTTAAGAAATATTGACTTAATAACATCACTGAGACAACTGGTATGAGCTCAAGAAGTGTTTTTATAAACTATAGGCCACGAACCATTTAGAGACATAATGTCTATTAGCATTCAAGACCAACAATTTTTTAATAAAAATTAGAATAAAATAGGAAATACCAAAGTGTCCGTATCGTTAACACAAATGCTATTTTCTGCAACTTTTATTGCAGATGTATATGTGTGACTTAGCCCTACTTTTACAAAATGGATGAATGAATTTTTCCACATTTAAACGAAACATGTAAAGTGTGTAACAAGGAGCATGGCCCACAGCAAGCTACTGTGAGCAATGACAGCATCACCGGCACCCAAGGTCAGAGTCACAGGTGGGCACCACTCCTCTAACGGCTTCTTAGTGATCTGCCTTGCTAGTAATGTGTGGGACCACCATTTGCAATGCACCCTAATTCTGCTAGGAGGAGAGAATAAAGACAACTAGGAAAACAGGACAGCATTTGGTTTGGCTGCCATTTCTGTTCATTACTGGCCCTGTAACCTTACTCAAGTCACCTAACTGTCCTGGACCCCGGCACCCCAGGCAGGGTTGGGTTGCCATGAGGGTTAAATTAGTTGAAGGTATAAAGCGCTTACTATGCGTGGCACACAGTAAGCACTGAGTAAATGTTAGCAGTCATTGTGTTGCTATTATTGTGACTGACCCAAGAATAGACAGATCAGCTAATAAAGACCAATTTTCTGCTTCCTCCCTTGGTTTCCAATGATTTTTATCTTTGATTGCTATTCCTGCAGGAAAACAAGCGTTTTTTTTTTTTTTTTGACTTTTAAAAATAAAAGCTTGCAAACAACTGTATCTCTAGGGAATCTCTTATATGTTCCTACCTATTTTCATCTTTTTCTTGAAGTCTAAGGCATTTTCCAGGGTACTGTTTTCTCTTTCTGCCTTGGGTAGCTGACAGAGGGGTGTGTATATACAAATCCTCCCCCTGTGCCTAAGTATTAATCAAGAGATGCAAAGATGCTAAGCCCATCTTTTTAGATGCTTTCATTTAGATGCTTTCAGCATGAAAAATACTGAGTGGAATTGGTACAATTCATGCAAAAGGTAGTGGGCTTTTCCAGTATTCACAGATACCTCTGCTCCTGGATTAAATTTGGGATTTGCTACACCAGAGCCCAATCCCCTGACATTGCCTGGTTACCATCTGGCTGAAAACAGGCTTTCTGGATGACCGCTGAGTTCCTAAATCACATTACCCTTTTGTCAAGTAACGCAGCAGGTAAACAGTGGAATAAGTTAGACCTTCAACATCAGGGGAAAGCACAAGCTCAGGAAAGGAATTAGTCTCTCCAAAGCTGCCTTTCTTTTCTTGGCCTTCCCCTTGCCCTAGAGGTTCTTTTAAAATTAAAAGTTTCACCTATGCTTAGACTCACCAACCAGTCCCACCAGCTTGGAATGCCACCCACCTTGTCACCCAGCAGCTCCCTGCACACCAAGTCTCATTGAGGTATTTCTGAGACCAGCATCTGTGATCCAGAATAAATCTATGGCCTGGTCTGGGGGCCAGACAGAATCTGAAGAGAATAAAAGAACAGCAGTGAAAAGCAGAATCCAAAGGAGCAGACCATAATGTAGATGGTTTTTCCCAGGCTTTTAATATGAAAATATTCTGAAAATGAAATTTGGTAGACTTGTACAAGAAACATCTCTAAAGCCACCATTTAGACTCAAAACTCATTGATATTTTGGGCATTTTGCTTTTTCTATCTATATTTCCATTCACATGTGTGTCTGATACCATGACACTTGACCCCCAAATATCATAGGATCTGTCTTCTCAGAGTAAGTATATTCCCCCATATAACCTAATTACAATTATTATGCCTAATGAATTAAGGATAATTCCATAGCCGGACATGGTGGCAATGCCTATAATCCCAGCATCTGTGAAGATGAAGTAGGAGAATCACAAATTCAAGTGTATTCTGGGCAATTTAGTAACTTTCTGAGATTTAAAAAGGGCTGAGGATGTAGCTCAGTGTGAAGCCCTGGCCCCAGTACAGGAAAAATGTAAAAGAACAATTCCATAACATCATCTAACGTTAGTCTGTGTTCCAATCTCCAAGAACTCAAGCATTACGTTCAACTGGTATAATTAGGCCCTTTTAATAAAGACCTTTTATTTCAATGACATTAGTTAGTGTTTGTTTATTTTTAGGTATTTTTGTTTGCTTGGGATTTTGTTTTGTTTTTGGCAGTGCTGGGGGTACGACCCAGGGCCTTACACATGCCAGGCAAGCATTTGACCACTGAGCTACTCCCCCAGCCCAGTGACATTCTTTGACTTTGACATGCATACAGGCCAGTTGTGTCATTTATAGAATGCCCCACCATTGAGCTGGGATTGGGAGGTGCAGGAGAGGAGAGTAGTACCCAGCATAGGAAATAAGGGAGAGTGAACATGACTTTCCATCTCAGAGTGGAAGACCAAGTCCACTCGGTCCTACACAATGTGCCCACCCCACTTCTCAGGCCCCACCCAGGAAACCCACGGCCACATCGGCCTTCTTGCCACTCTCCTCATGCTAAGCACTGGCCCAGCCTGAGATCCCACATTGTCTCCCCGCACCCTTCTTGGGATGCTTCCCTCTTCCATATATCGACACAGCTGCCCTCCCTTCTTGCAGGTCTTTCCTTATCCACCATGTGGGAAGTTACAAATCACTCTCCCCACCTTGTCTTTGTTTCATGGCATATTTTATCTCCAGCTTTCCATACACGGTACTGTGTCTTCTTTCTTTTCAGCGCTTGCTTATCCCATCACCTTGAAGATATGCCCCAAAGACAGGATTTTCATGGATTTGTTAGCTCCTATACTTGTGCCTGATTCAGTTCAATTAATGTGTATTCCTTCAAACCCACTACTGAGCTCCTGGCCCTGCAGAAAAGCAATGTTCCGGGTGAACCCCTCAGAGCTAGGTGACGTGGCTCTCCAGCGCCTGCTGCCCCAAGCTTGTGGTGAAGCACTATATATGGCACGGAAAATGACCCTCAGAAGCAGAGGTGAGGCTCTGGGGCTGCCCGGAGCCATTCTCCGGCCCTCTCTCCACAGAGCCATTTCAGCTTCTTTACATTCCTGAGGCCATGCCGCTGATCTTTCTAAGAAGCAGACATGGCGGTGCCAGTCCTTCTACTCAAAATCCCTTGTCATCTTTTCCTCCACAGGATGAAATTCAGTCAGAACTGAGCCTGATGCACGTACGGACTTAGCTGGCTTCCACTTTCCCTGTCCCTAGTCCCTGCCACTCCTCACCCCAAGCTTGACAATACTAGATTGTGTCTACCAGTTTCTAGAATATTCCTGCACCTCATACCTTACACTTACTCTTTCTGTACTATCGTGCACCTCACTCTACCCTATCCACCCTAGTGTGTAGTCATGGCAAACTTCTACTCCCTCAAGGTTCAAGTCAAATGTCACCTCCCCTTCTGAAGCTCCCCTCTACTCTAATCGCACCAGGCACTTGGTTGAAAATGAAAACAGTTTAACAAGAATCCCGTCGTCGTTATTAGCTCTCAGCCTGGTCCTCAAGTGCATGAAGAGCATTGGTTCTTTTCATCTGCATAGCCACAGAGTCCTGGGCAAAATGCCAGGTGTTTAACAAGTTTGGGTGACTTGATCTAAGTAGGAATTCTGCCCCGAGCAGAGCTGTTTGTCGAGGGCTCTCTGGATCAGACTTAGTGACCCTGATCGTCTCTGTTCTGATTTTATGGCTCAAGCCTAGAGTTAATGGTAAATGTCCTCATTGTTTGGGCCTGCCGAAACTTTGTGCAAACCCAATATCAGGCGGCTGTTTCACTGCCCACAAACAATTCTACATTCCAGAGCAGGCTGACCCAGTATCCAGATTGTTTTGTTTGCTTTTCACTAACAAGGAAACTCTCACTGAAGGCCCTGAAACTTAAACCACATTCTCTGCTCCAGCTTGCTCTCCCCTGTACAAATATGTGTGTATGAGAGAGAGGCAGACAGGGACAGAGGAAGAAAGATAACCAGAGGGAGGCAGAGAAGCCATAAAATTAACCCGCCACTGTGTTCCTAACCCAGCTCAGGTTGCCCCTACCCGATAGAGGACTGAACAATGCCCAGGGGTTTGGCACCAAGTTCAAAGAGCCTTGGTGGCATCAGGAGACTGATTAGACCCCCTTTTGGAAAAGTATACAAGCATCTTTGTCAGCTCTCCCCTCCATTTTCTTTTCATTTTAGGAAACGTACACTTTTCATTCACCTAAGTCCAGACAACTGGATGTGCCTAACATTCTGGTCAAGGTCAGAACTCACAGTGAAATGGCATCGTCAGGATTTTTCTAGGAAGGTGATCTAATTATCTGCAGCCTACGAGTCTTCTACACTATGAATATGTTTTCTGTCATGTCCATGTGTGACCTGTGATCTGGCAAGATGTCTGTCAAATCAGTCCATGTTATTATTTACAAATTTTCACCTATTCTTTGTCCTCATTTTAAAAATCCACAGCTTAAATTTAACTTTGAAAAAAATTCCCAGTTTTGCATAGTTCAGGGACTCGGGGTCCAGAAGAAGTCTCAGGCTGTTCACATACTCATGCTGAAAGTTTCTGTAGCACAGACGAAGGTGAGTAAGCATTTCTTATGGATCCTGAGGTTCCTCCCCAGCTGTCAGCATTGTTTCTGTTTGTCTGGTTTGAACTGAGTCCAGCTGACTGTCCTCCAAGTTCCAGTTTAGGTCAGATCTCAGGAGACAGCCTGTCTGCTTGCTTAAAAAACAAGTATCTGTATGAGTATCCACCCCAACCTGGAGTCGTGTAGATTATTGATGCCTGCTGACCTTGCCCAGGGTCCCCTGCAGGGTGGATGGAGGTGAATAGCTATGTGGTAATCTCTCCATCCGAGCTTGTTGGCACCTTAATAAGAAACCCTGCACACAGATGGCTGGGCTGCCCGGACTGCTTCCCTCTTGCACAATCAGGCTGTCCCACCAGGTGTCTGTGTCATCTTCATTTTTTTCCCCATTTACTCTGGAAGTCTCCTTTGGTGGCCTCAAAACTCTTGTGACCATCTACTATTATTTAGTGAGCATTTAATGGACCCGATCCCGACTTGTTCCCAGAAAGACTCCAGTGAATCAGAACAGGGGTTTCCACTTGCAAGGATTTCATAACCCAAAGATGGAAATGAAACAGGGAGTTAAAGGTGGAACAGAAGTATGTGATTCTCGTGTTGTACATATACGATATGTTTTACAGATCCACAGTCTGACTTTTTAATTAGTGAGAAATTCCTCATCAATTTATCACTATAAATTTGTTTAAACATTTGAGAGTATAGCATAACCTCTCTCTCCCTCTCTCTCCCCACCCCACACACTGTTTTTCCTTTCCACCAGAAAGCTCAGAGCAAATTTTAATGCTAATCTCTAAACACTGATATAACAATGGTATTGGACAATTGACATATTTGATATATTAACAACTTTTGTATGATATATATTTCTAATTAATTAATTGTCTTTGCTCTGTAGTATAAGTTGTAAAGAGGCAGGTGGGCATAGAAAAAAGGGTTAGGTATTGGTAAAAGGAGGCATGAGCTTGAATCTGCTCCCTTCTCATTACAAGGACTTGAAAAGATAACCTTTATCTCATGGGGATTTTCATGGGGAAGAGTCACGGGGACATGATATGTCAAGCACAGCTGTTTTTAGCTCCTTGCTGAGATTTTTGGAACTAGACAGGTACAGCATAAGTCATTAAAAGTATAGCTCTTTATTTGATGCACCAACAAGTACTTATTGTTGATTGTATTGCCTTTAAGGTTGAAGTTGTGCTCTCAGATCATCTGCAGGCCATGATAAGCACAATACCTGAAATAGGACCACTTAATCAGTCAGGTAAGCTCCAGTTTATAGGTATTTCTCAGAGGTTTAAAATCAGAGGGAGGTTTTCTGATAGAGTGTATGCGAGGAAATTCCATCAGAGGAGCTCATGAGTGAGCCTGGGAGGCTAGGTACCACCTGGAGACTAGAAACCAGATCTGTCACCTCCCCTGAAAACTCTGGGGACCCTGTGGAAAGTCAGCATTGTGCAGTGGAAAGCTCCCTGGTTTGCCACTCAGCAGGTTTAAATTCCTGGTCAGCCACTGGAAGTTGTGTGGCCCCAGACATGTCACTTGACCTTCCCAGACCTCCAATTCATGGTGGCAAAATTGGTCAAATAATAGTATTCTAGCATGGGTGATTAGAGGTGACCTGTTATAGGCACATAACACAACACCCTGCCCACTAGGAAGTTTGAATGGTAGTTTACTGTTAGGCCTTAGTTATCATTAACTATCACAACCCCCTTACATGACTGTGAAGCAGATTTCTAGCATAACAAACTAAAAGTAGCTAAATATCCAGCCAAAATAAGAGCAGAAAACAAACACCGTGTTTTCAAACATTAATGCAATTGAACAATCCCTGGGAAGATCAATTAAGGGAAGAAAATAGAAGACACAAATTGCCATTAATAGCTTTAAAGAGGAACTCTTAATATAG